CTGCCATCATAGTCCCATGGACCCGAGAGAGTTTGAGTCATGGTGAAGAGTGGCGCAGCATCACTTAGTAGGAAGACATAACCTCGACACTGTTGCACCTCCAAGAACACTTCCGCCAGCTCCTCCTCTCCCATTACCTTCACTATCTGCTATGACCAGGAAGACATGTGGTAGTATGTGTTACTAAAAGCTAGACATATACCATATACTTCAATATAATACACATGGGATTATATTTTCCATCGGCAGACGTATGTACCTTCATTCGTAAGCGGCAGTGACCTTTTTGTTAACACATCGGCCGTTTCTCACCAAGACAGAGTGGCCCAAAAATTAAGAAACTTTTATCATCATTCACTCCATCACTGCCTTGCCAGAGGGTTGCCTACACTGCAGTTTAAAAACTGCAACGGTCCAAATGTACATATACGTTTTTTTCAACTTTTGAAAGTATGTAAAAAAAGTAGATCTTTTTTTTTTTACATTTGAAAATGTGTAAAAAAACTTTGATCTACTTTGTTTTTGTTATATTTGAAAATATGTAAAAAAAAACGTACATCTACTTTTGTAGCACTACACATGTGAACGTAGATCTGCTTGGACCGTTTACGGGTTAAAAACTGCAACACATCTCCACATCTCCTTCAGCGCTCATCTCCTCTATTTCCCAGATGCAGTCCTGTTAACTGGTTTCCCTGAATACTTTCATATATATTATTTTATTCACACTCCATCAGCACATCATGTCATGGAAAAAACATTTGTCTACACTCACTCCTGTCAAACATACTCCGGCACCTCCTTCACTCCCTCCCTCCAACCTGTCTATGGACGACCTTGTTGCAACATTCACTACTCATGCTTCACACCCATATTGGTACTACTATATTCCCATACATTTCCCTCTTTGCTTCCATGGATAAAGTTCTTTGTCTCCACAGAGTCCACACTGCACTATTCACTTTTTTCCAGCCATCAGTTTTATGACTCGTTCGTCTTCACAGACACATCTACTGACAAGTCTACCATCAAATATATTCAATATTCACTTCCTCCAGACTTCTTCCCTCCAAGCTGATATACCTGGAGTCTACCAGGAGGGTATTCTGGGGAACAAGGCCCCTGCGGCCCGGTCCATGACCAGGCCTCCTGGTGGATCAGGGACTGATCAATGAGGCTGTTACTGCTCGCCGCACGTAGTCCAACGTACGAACCACAGCCCGGCTGATCCTGTACTGAATTTAGTTATCTGTCCAGCTCCATCTTGAAGACAACCGGGGGTCTGTTAGTAATTCCCCTTATGGCTGGTGGGAGGCTGTTGAACAGTCTTGGTCCCCGGACATTTTCGTGTTTTCTCTTAGTGTGCTAACGGCGCCTCTACTTTTCATTGAGCTATGTTGCATCTCTTGCCAAGTCTTTTGCTTTCGTAAGGAGATATTTCTGTGTGCAGATTAGGGACTAGTCCCTCTAGGATTTTCCAGGTGTAGATTATGATGCATCTATCTAGCTGCGCTCCAGTGAGTACAAGTCAAGTGCTTCCAAGCGTTTCCAGTAGTTAAGATGTTTGATGGAACTTATATGTTCAGTAAAGGTTATCTGTACATTCTCTAGATTTACAATGTTCAGCAGTATTCCAGACTACAGAGAACAAGTGATTTAAAAAGGATCATCATAAGCTTGGCATCTCTTGTCCTGAATCTTCTCATTATCCATCCTATCACTTTCCTCTCAGATGTGATAGTGACATTGTTGTGATCCTTGAAGGTGAGATCCTCAGACATTACCATTCCCATGTCCTCTACATTACTTTTCCGCTCTATTGCGTGATTAGAGTTTGTAGTATACTCATTTCTAGCTATTCCTCTAGTTTTCCATAACAGAGTAGTTGGAATATGTCTTCATTGAGGATCATATTGGTCGCCATTGCTCACTGCAAAACTTGTTTTACATCTTTGAGATTTGCCGTGTCCTCAATGGATGACACTCTCATGCAGGTCCTAGTGTCGTCTGCAAAGGATGATACGGTGCTATGATTTACATCTCTGTCTGTGTCTGATATGAGGACGAGGAACAGGATATGGGCGAGTACTGTGCCATGTGAAACAGAGCTCTTCACTTTAACAGCTTCCGATTTGACTCTGTTTACCATTACTCTTTGTGTTAGAAAGTTGAAGATCCATCTGCCCACTTTGCCAGTTATCCCTTCAGCACGCATTTTGTGTGCTATTTCACCATGACCGCACTTGCCAAAGGCTTTCGTAAAGTCTGTGTATTCCACATCCGCATTCTGTTTGTTTTCCAGTGCATCCAAGACCACATCATAGTGGTGCAGTAGTTGCGAGAGGCAGGAGCGACCTGCTCTGAACCCAGGTTGCCCTGGATTGTGCAATTGTTGAGAGTCCAAGTGGTTTACAATCATGGTTTACAATCATGCTTCTTAGAACTCTCTCAAAGATTTTTATGAAGTGGGGCGTTAAAGCTATTGGTTTATAGTTCTTAGTAATTACGTTGCTGCCACCTTTATGGAGTGGGGCTATATCAGTTTTTTAAGTGACTGTGGAATCTCACCTGTGTCTATGTTCCTTTTCCATATCATACTTAGAGCCTGTGAGAGGGGTTTCTTGCAGTTCTTAATGAACACAGAGTTCCACGAGTCTGGGCCCGGGGCTGGATATATGCGCATGTTGTCAATGGTTTTCTTAATGTCTAATGGAGTTAGGGTTATGTCAGGGTTTTGAGGCTCATTCATGAAATAATAATTTGGATTGTCAATCTTTAGACTGATTAGTGGCTCGCTGAACACAGAGTCATATTGAGATCTCAGTACCTCACTCATTTCTTTTTTGTCATCTGTGTAGGATCCGTCTTGTCTGAGCAGGAGCCCTATAATAGATGTGGTTTTTGCCTTGTTTTTGGCACATGAACCGAAATATTTCGAATTTCTTTCAATTTCACTAATTGCTTTTAGTTCCTCTTGTCTCTCCTGGATCCTGTATGAGTCCTTTAACTTCATCTCAATATTTTCCACTTCCCTGAGTAGCACTTCCAGTGGATGTCTATTTATTTTTGGGTCATCTGTTGTAGACTGGGCATTCTGAATGTTAAACTTTAATTCTTTCCCATCCCACCTTTCAAGGTAGGCAAAATTGCCGACCTAGAGAGTGTACAAAGAATTTTCACGGCACACATAAGTGCGATAAAGCTCCTAAACTACTGGGAAAGGTTGAAGTCCCTGGAACGCAGGCGAGAGAGATACATGATAATATACACTTGGAAAACCCTAGAGGGACTAGTACCAAACCTGCACACGAAAATCACTCCCTATGACAGCAAAAGACTCGGCAGGAGATGCAACATTTCTGCAATGAAAAGCAGGGGCGCCACAAGTACATGAGAGACAACACAATAAGTGTGAAGGGCCCAAGACTGTTCAACTGCTTCCCAGCACACATAAGAGGGATGACCAACAAACCACTGGTTGTCTTCAAGAAAGCACTAGACAGGTACCTAAAGTCAGTACATGACCAGTAGGACTCTGGTTCGTACGTCAGTTCACGTGCAGCCAGCAGCAACAGCCTGGTTGATCAGACCCTCATCTACCACGAAGCCTGGTCTCAAACCGGGTCGCAGGGCCCTTGACCCCCGAAACCATCTCGAGGTATACATAAGAATATAGGAATTGATTAACACTGCAGAAGGCCTACTGGCACATACAAGGCAGGTCCTTATCAAAACCCCCCCTCCCCAAAGATACCCAAGAATTTACTCCCGTACCCACGACACCAATCAAACCCAGCCCCTCTCACTCATATATTTGTCCATTCTCTTTTCAAAGGTACCCAAGGTCCTAGCCTCGATCACCCTACTCGGAAGATTGTTCCACGCATCCACAGTTCTCTTCAAAAACCAGTACTTACCTATGTGCTTCCCAAATCTAAATTTATCCAACTTAAATCCATTATTTCTGGTTCTTAACTGGTTCGACACCCTCAAAACTTTATTAATATCACCTTTGTTTATGCCTGTCATCCACTTATACACTTCATTGATATCTTCCCTCATTCTACGTCTCTCCAGAGAGTGGAGATTCAAGGCTCTAAGTCTGTCTTCATACGGGAGATTCCAATGGGAGTATATCCATCCTGTAATAAGGACACCAAAACTGAGTGGCATAATCCAAATGAGGTCTCACTAGTGATGTACAGAGCTGTAAAATAACTTTTTGAAACTGTTACTTATACTTCTTGAAATAAATCCTAGTAATCTGTCAGCCATACTCTGCACCACACTTAGGCACTGGTGTCTTGGCTTTAGATTACTGCTTACAATGACTCCCAAGTCTTTTTCATATTCTGTATTACCAAGCTCTACTTCACCTAGTTTATAACTTCGAGGGTTATTTTCATTACCAAGGACTAGTGCTTTACACTTGCCCACATTGAACTACATCTGCCATTTTTTCAGACCAAGACATTAATTTGCCTAAATCCTCGTGGAGTTCATTGGTATCCTTCTCAGAAAGAATCATTTGGCTTATTTTTGAATCATCATCAAATTTGCTTATGTCACTTGTAATTCTTTTGTCAAGGTTATTAATGTAAATCATGAATACAAGAGGACCATAAACTGATCCTTGTGGAACGCCACTAGCGGCTAATCTCCAATCAGATTTGACATCATTAATGGAAACTCTCTGCTTTCTATTGGTAAGCCATGCCTCTGTCCATGCTAGAACTTTTCCTCCTATACCATGAGCTGCCACATTTCTTAAGAGTTTTTTGTGAGTTACTCTATCGAAGCCTTTACTGAAATCCAAATAAACAACATCATATTCTTTACCACTGTCTACTGCCTCAAATGTTTTTTTGAAGAGCGTCAGTAAATTTGTGAGGCAGGAACGACCTCTCGTGAACCCATGCTGAGATTCATTAATCAAATTATGCTCTTCAAGATGGCTTCTAAAAATATCAGCTATAATTGATTCTAATAATTAGACTACTATAGACGTCAGGCTTATTGGACGGTAATTTGATGTAAGGGACTTATCCCCTGATTTAAATATAGGAACTACATTAGCTGTCTTCCACATCTCTGGCACAACACCAGTTAGGATGGACGCATTAAACACGCTCGTTAATGGCTGACT